TGTTATGTGATATTAGCAATAAATTGCTATCATATTAATATACACATCAGTCTATCAGCGATAACTTATCAATTTATAATTCTATACGTCACCTGTTTCATTATAGCAACGAATTTAATTATGATTAATTTATTGACAAGATTATCAAATTATTACACAATTATTATACCTCTTATTACTTAATAAACAATAGATAGGTACGTTGCGCCTATCGCAATAATTATTTTATAACCCTTTTTATTTTATTTTATTAGAATAGCTCAAAAAATGTATTAGATAAATAAATGTGTAACTATATCAACTAACTAAAATCAAACAACATACACGAATACGTCTAAATATTTATTTTGCATTATATCTACCCAAAGATTGTCTGGTAGAAATCACTATAAATGATAAGACCGCCGTTGTGCCCATTATTATTTTTAATTATGTTTTTCATTTCCTTTTTCTGTATCTACTATATTATTAATGGTTTACAATAAAGATTGTTCTATTCTATGAAAGAATAATTTTATCGACAGTATAAAAGATTTTTTTACGTGAAACATAGGAAACATAGGAAACGTGAACATAGGAAAGTCCTCAAAAGCAAAAACTACATTTTCCCAAAAGCAAGCAAAGTTTAACAGAAGATAAACTTTTTAATAATCACTCAGATTAGGATATAAGTACTGACGATATTAGAAAATCGAGTTTTCAAACGTATGTTATTTACTTTAAATATTTTTGATGAATAGAGTATTGATCCATAAAACGTAGTTACACAATTTTCCAGGTACTGGAAAACCTACTCACAATTAAAAAAGAACCTTAGTACACATGTCTAACAGTTCTGATTTTCAAGTCATATTTAACGAGATCCACACACACAGTGTACCTTCTGTGATTTCTAGAAAGTGTTTAATTTGTGACTCAACAACACTCAAAGCGCTCCTAAGCGGATCAAAGTCGGTTAACAAAAAATAAACGATATAAAATCCATGGAACTACTGCGAAAGGAAAATAATTTTTTGTTCGTTTACGAAACAGTATTTGTCCAACACTAAATTCCCTGTGTATATTGTATTATTCCCTGTGAACACAGAGGTGTCTATTTAACACTATTTTAGAAGACATTTTATAAATTCGACAACGGATTATTTATTCTTTAATTTTAAGGTCTAACAATCAAAAATCAATTTCGATTCGAAAATTTTTGCTTACTTAAGATCACTAAAATCAAGAAGCAATGTAATATCCAGTAACAAAATCGAATATCATAAAATCTGATTTTGTAGACGGTTCAAAATTCCGTACGCAATCAAGTATTAAACATAGTGTTAAGCTTGAAAAATGTCGTCATAATCAAAGTATCATAATGTTAAGGGTCCTAATTTTCTTTTTTCATCATCAGCATCAGAACACAAAACTAAAGATAACCTCTTTATTATCCAGGTGTCGTCGTGGAAGCAATTGCGAGGTGGCGTCTATTTCGTAGAAGATATACCAAAGACTCCTAGCGGCAAAATATTAAGAAGAATTTTACGCGATTACCTTAAGAAACCTGCTAGCAAACTATAGTCTTCTTTTTAACTTACCAAGTTATTATTAGAAGAACCTACGATAGTTTGTTATCGAAGAAGTTGAACGAAACAATAAATCATGTCATTGACATGTGGGCGATGGTACAGCACCTATTTGAATTGAATAAAATGTATCACATAAACTTGTAATAATTCTTATCTGTCACCTAATAAAGTTACGTGCAAATCGTTCGTACTTAATCGTTTTCCAGGACCGTAACCTTGGCTTAAAAAAAGACTTAACTAAAAAAACATATTGTGAAACATTCAGTTCTGTACACAATTTTGTTTTCAGACATTAAATAACTGCGTAAATTACGAGTTGTTTACTTCTTTCCAGACTTAGTTTTAGACCCAAAAATATATAAAAAAACATTCCTCGGTAGTTTAAAATAAACAACAAACGAACGTTCTAACTAACTTGGACGATAAGTCAAATTAGAAGCTTAATTTTTAAGGAAACTGCCAAAACCGCGATCCCTTTGACGGCGTTCATGGCAAACAGTCAAGTACATGTACAAACACCTAAATTCGGTTTGTAAATACATCAGTAATGTTTACTACGTCCATTTAGGAACCGTTGGCGTTGAGATGTAGGTAGACATGTAATGGTACCTAATAGACCATAAGACATTATGGCTTGGTCCTCGAGTGAGTAAATTGCATGGTATGGTGCGTTCCGACCCCCGCCCACGGGCGCGCATGGGCCCATAATGACACTGCAAACGTCCCATTTAGAATTTTTACTTTCCTCAAACCGCACCTCGAATAGCACGCGTGCTTTTATTTTTTTACATCGTTAATTTGAACATAATTTATAGTATTTCACATTAGTTTAAGAAACGATTTTTTAAGAAGTCTTGACAGTAACTTTTTTTACTAATTGATACCTACCAATTATAGTTTAAAAACAATTCGTAACTAAGGTTAGGTATGTACCTAACCTATCTGAAATTAATATCAATATGATTATGGCAATATTTTGTCTAAGTGAGCCAATTTCGATTCTGTTATGATAAAACAAGTGAGTAGGCGGATAATGCCACTGACACACTCGACCTTGCCCAGTTCTTGACTCAGACTTAAGTGAAACTGTGCCACAAATTATCATATCCAATAGAGCAGACAAATATGCAGCATGACGTAATAGTACCATGAGGTATAACAGATAAATCAATAAAAAAATTAAATTCGTCAGATAGGGACACGTGTAATCCAAAAGATCTGAGTAGTTTATGCGCGCACACGTCAACAAACAAACGTGTGATATGTGCCCGATTGTTAAAGTCCGATAAAAACTGCGCTGTCAAACATTTTCAGAAGTATGTGCCAGCCTTTTGTTTCGTCCTGATCGTTAAATACACGAAATATTATTTTTGCTATCTACCGTCAGCGTTAATCATGAGCGAGACAGTTGCCCCGATGTTATGCATAAATGTAAAAGCTTTTACCAGCTTTTCATAAAAATAACTTCAGGCTAGTTTAATTTTCACCAGAATAAAACGACGAATACGTTTTAATGAGCCATCAAATATTCTCAGAATGTAGCTAGCCATAAATGTGTACTTACACGAAAGTGTCATAGATATAAAACCATAGAGAAGTAGTATAAAGTGTAAATGCATACAAGGCAACAATAAAAGCACATGAGTTTATAAGTTGTGTGCATAAGCAGTGGTCACAGACGCCGACACCTTACAGCACTGTCAATATTTACCTTTCAACGCGGCATTCACTCTGTCCAAATCGTAGAGTGACAGTGGAAGAGGCTCGTTCAACAGCCGCAGCCGAGGCTTGTTCCCGTTGGATGACTCCTCGGAAAAGCCATCGCTCAAAAATATACCCGACGAATGTCTGTACAGTTTGTAAGCACACTTGTTCGTACGAAGCCAGTCAACAAATACTATCGCACCGTTCAGAGAACGCTCGTCTCCTGAAACGACGTGACTCCTCAGTTCCTCGATGTTCCCCTTTATGACCAAACGAATGTACAGCTTGTAAAACATAAACACTTTTACATTGGGCTTGGTGCCGCGCTTTATCTTCCTCACGCTCAGGACTCTGGCGGTGAAAATGTATTTAGACTCAGACACGGCTGACGACAGAATTTCGTAGTCATTAGTTATCGTCTCGTTTAAAACACATTTGGAGCCGTTTATGTCTTTCTTGCGGTAAACCGTATCCCGTTTCCTCACTTCACCCCTTATACGGAAATGGGCATAAGTTATCGTAAAGCAGTAAAGCAATAACACTAAAACCTTTAGCTTCATTTTGATTGTTATATTGTTTACTGCCATATCTATATCGGAGCCATTTCAGCGGCTTATAAGTTAAAACTTTTGATGTAGATCGTAAACTCACATGGAACACAAAGTTGCGCAAGTTGTCGGCGTGGCGCCACCGAGACGCGTGCGCTAGCGCAGCCTCGCGCGCGTACTGGGAGACCTCGCAATTCGATACAACCTTCATCAACGTAAACAAACATGGACTTACGTTACGTTAAACTATGACTCGGCTCGGGAGGTAATTAGTACAGGCCGTGCTAATTGACGAGATGGTTTAAAATGGAAAGTAGGCTTCTATGTAGATGTAGGTACAAGTCACTGTGTTCCTGTGTAGAGCCGCATTAGCAAAAGCTTTCCATTTTATTGGTAGCTACTGTTAGTTGCGCAATCTGACACGAAAAGAATTTGAATATTCGTTTGTAGCGATAGAGAACTCGTGGTTTCAGATAGATAACAGATAGGATAGAGCAATACGTGGCACAAGTTAACAGTTATTGCCGAATGCACAGCGGTGCACGCCTGCCCGACTGTGCCCCTGAATATTCATGTACAAATTCGGGTTGAACTAGTAGAGAAACTTTCTCTGTGTTTCGCACTGGATACTAAAAATTTCAACAACAAAATGTGCTTCTACATATAATTGGAGCGAAGTATTTACATTTTTTTTTCTTATATAAATCACTAATTTATTCATGAGGTAGAATATACGTATCACAGTTAAATTACAACAACTTCAATGCAGTACTTAGTGAACTAAGTAAGTATTTAAAAAATAATATATCAAAGCAGTCAGACATTATAATTATTGCAGGATAGGAATATATGTAGTGGAACTGTAAACGAGATTTAAAAATGTTGTTAGTCGTCGTCGCACGTACATAGGTGATTGCAAGCGCTTACACGAGGAATTTGGAAAGTGGTACGAGCGTGGGCGGGCGAGTACGGGCCGCTCGCTTTCTTGACGAATCTTCAACGTCGCACTTTATATTTTGTAACATTTTTCACAGACTGGTCTGTTTACTTGTTTACTTTATAGCTGCACACAAAATATCTTAGTAACTCGTTTCCAAATCACGTCGTCATCGGTTCCTGATCATTGGAAATGGCCACTCAATTCGAAGTCATGTCAGTAGATGCAAGAACATAAACATGTTTGAAGGTTGAGTCAGTTGCATTTTATTTCGTTAAACACAATTGACGGCGCGTCAGATCGCTATCGTACTCCTAATAGAGCATTAAGTAAGTAGCCGTCTCTGTAACAAGATGATAATTGAGTATTCCGAACAGATTACAAGCATAAGATATTTTAATTTTATAGTCATTACAGACGCGCAGTGTGCAATCAGATGCTCGCTTCGTGTGTGGTATATTACTATCTTGACGAATACACTCAGTCATTACTTTCTCTACAGCCAATAACGCCTCCTGCGATGATAGCTTTAGATATGAAACCGCGCGGTGAAGCATCGCCGTATCTAACGATGCATTGGCATTCCTTAATATATTGCCTCACTGATCATAATATGTTAAATATCTTTAAGAATCTCCATTGTTGCCATCAAGTTACACTCACGCAAGCTTCTTTAGCATTGGAGCCCTTAAACGTCTAATGAAGCAGATTAAATCGGATTCGTCTCTGAGTCTCCTAGTTTATCTGTAAGGATTCCCACGGATCGTGCGGCCTCAGCTCTGATACAGATCGGGCGGTCGCAGGCGACGTCGCAGTCGCTAACTAAGGCGACGCAGAAGTGATACATAACAACAGAGAGTCACGTGTCAACAGTCGCATCCCTACGATGTAGTGTTAGATAGGACGTGCGATTCCACCTCGCTCTGTATGGAAAGCGTGCGGCTAGTGCGATCGAGTGGTCGGCGGGCGGCGGCGAGGTCCAAACCCCGCGATACTCATCTCATCGTCGGATTATGCGAGGCTTAAATTGGATCTTCTTGGAATTTTTAGGTTAAAATGGCTTTCGCAATAAAATTTATTGCGGAGTATTTGACTCGGAATAAAGTCTATTCGTGACCCACTGCGAATTCAATTAAAGAGCATCTCAGCGTAATATTATTTACATTCTTTCCTACTGGGCAACCCGCTTTTATAAAAGATATAAAAGATATTGGAGTAATAAATAAAAGAGGAATTTGCAGCGTTTCATCAACGTTAAGTAATATTGCAAATTCACAAATGTACCTACCTACTTGAAAACGTTAGAGGCAGATGAATAAATTAAGTAATGATTTTGCGTTTACATAAAGGTAGGTATTTTAGGGCCGAATTACATTGTTATCAAATGGATGTTATTTCACAATTACCATTGGTATTTGGAGTGTTTGCTCAGTTAATTAGAATACGTTTGTGTGAACAATAATCGGGTGCGGTATACATTGATTGATCATGGTCGGCGGTGTGCACGTATATTTATGTTGGGCTCGGGCAGCCGAGCAAACGTTCCGATCGCCTTCACTCCATTAAGTTAACGAACAGTTGTCAAGATGTCGATCAAAATCGACTTTTAATACGTTCCCGACGTTATGTACGCTATGGATGCAGCACCCACGCGTTATTGTAACTTGTGTGAAGTTAAACCGATTGCATGCATTACTTTGCTTGGATTTGTTTTATTTGTTTTGGATTGTGGCTACACTACGGCATGAATTTTTATTGCTTGTTTTTTCTAGGTATTTGCATCGTGAGAATTTTACAGATTTTGAAATGAAGATTGTTAAACATGTGGTGATAGAAAACTAACTCACCTTTAACAGCAGCATTGACTCTGTCCAAATGATATAAAGTTAACGGCACTGGGTCTGTCAGGATTCGAAGTCTAGGTGTGGGTCCTCTGCCCTTATCAGCGTACGCACCATCACTCAGGAAAATGGCAGAGAGCCGTGGCCTCGGCGCCGGCGCACAAGACTCCCGCGCACGAGGCCGCTCCACCATTAACGTCGAACCACTCAAAGTCTCTTCTGACCCTTCTAACTTCACAAACATTCTCAATTCACTCATATCCCCCTTCAATAATCTCCGCA